AAGGCCCCGGGGCGGGGTGGGCCCGGGAGGGCCTGATGCCCGTGAGACAGACGCCGGGTGAAGGAGCCCTTTTCTCACTTTGAGAGACTTTTCCTCAAGAACACAAATAGGACCAACCTAGAGTCACAGGGCGCCTCCTGAAAACCAGGGGGCCCCCCAAGTGCCTTTTGAAAGCTGGACTCTTCCGTTTGAAGATTTCCTTCATAATAATCAAATTCTTGCTCCCTGAGGCCCAGAAGGTGCCTATTAACCTGCCTCCCTCTTTGTTTCAGAGACCTGTCGGGATGTTTTCTGTCCCGGCAGCTCCACGTGTGTGGTGGACCAGACCAATAACGCCTACTGTGTGACGTGTAACCGCATTTGCCCGGAGCCCACCTCCTCTGAGCAGTACCTCTGTGGGAACGATGGAGTGACCTACTCCAGTGCCTGCCACCTGCGGAAGGCCACCTGCCTGCTGGGCAGGTCCATTGGCTTAGCCTACGAGGGAAAATGTATCAGTAGGTATTCCCTCCGGATTGAGAAACAAAGAGAGAAAATAGGAACGAAAATGCTAGTTCTAGTGTTAACACTGTGGGGTTCACCGATAAAGAAGCCCAACGCCTCCCCAAATGCAGCTTTGCCAGAGAGAGGAAGACTCCCCAGGGACCCCGGCATTTCTCAGGGAGGCCGATGTCTTCCGGAACGTTGGCTTATATATTGAAATGCTGGAAAGAAACAGGAAACCATTTTCTGTCTTAGAAAACTTAGAACTCGCTCAATTTTACACATTCCTTTAGGTGCTAGACTTGCTGGAAGCAAGAAGTAATTATTTAACAGTTCTTAAAACCTGTCATTAGGTTCTGATAGCTGATGGCGTTCTTTCTTTTTTTAAAGATCCCTCTGTGGGGAATCATCAGATACATATTCAACTCTAGGACCCTGTGAAATCCTGATCCAAAAATACCTTTTTCACACACACATAGTATGTAGGAAACTGTGGGGATTTGTGTGCGTTTCAGTTTTATGAAGCGTTTTTGCATCATGTATTTATTACCCCCCGTTCGTGAGTAATAAAATGTTAAGTTCTGTGTTTACATTTCACGATAGGCGAGCAGAGAAAGGGGGGCAGGGAATCAGCTTACTCATCACAGGTATATTGTATCCTAGAAGCAAAGTCCTGTGAAGACATCCAGTGCACTGGCGGGAAAAAGTGTCTGTGGGACTTCAAGGTGGGCCGAGGCCGGTGCTCCCTGTGTGACGAGCTGTGCCCCGACGGCAAGTCCGAGGAGCCTGTCTGCGCCAGCGACAACGCCACCTACGCCAGCGAGTGCGCCATGAAGGAGGCCGCCTGCTCCTCGGGCGTGTTGCTGGAGGTCAAGCACTCCGGATCCTGCAACTGTAAGTGCTGGTTTACACTTGCTACGACTTAAGGCTTTCCCGGGCACAAAACCTCCCCGTTAGCAGCTCGTCTCTGTCTAAGTGAGGTAGCTGCTCAGTTTCACCAGCAATTCAGTGATGCACCGAAAACGCCCTGGAATGTTTCCTGACTTTTAAAACCTGCCCAGTGATCATCAGTGGGGTTGCCTCTAAAATCCTATTGCCGGTCACTTGCCCCTAATTCTTTTGCTTTCGTCATGTGCTTTGCTGTTCGCTTTATTAACCCTTGAATCTAAGCTAACTGCTTCAAAAGTTGTTGTTTCGTGTGTTTTTTTTTTTCTTTTTCAAAGGCAGCTTTGTACTATCACACACGGGCGGCTGCTTCGCGCAGTCGTCTCTACTAACTCTGAAGTAAGGACCCCAAGCAGTTATACCTAGAACACAAGAACGCTTTTTATCTGATTTCAGGAATCTGCCCGTAAAACCTGAGCCATTGATTCTTCAGAACTTTCTGCAGTTTTTGACTTCATAGATTATGGTTTTTGGTGTTTTTTTTTTTTAAGTTGTTTTTTTTTTTNTTATACCCTATAACATATAGTCTAGTTTTTGATAACTATTTTATTTTCTTTAAATATGCATTTGGTTCCGTGACTTCAAAGATAAGATGTGCCCCTTGCCTAAAAAAAAAAAAAAAAAAAGCATCTCACTGCAAGTCACATAGAAATGCAACGCTGTAATGTGGCTGCATCAGAGGGCTTTGAAACGTACACTGAGCTGCTTCGCGCTGTTGTAGTCCGTGTCTAAACGACAGCTCCCTGTATTCCCCCATCTAGCCATTTCGGAAGACACCGAGGAGGAAGAAGAGGAGGAAGAGCAGGACTACAGCTTCCCTATATCCTCCATTCTAGAGTGGTGAACCCCGCCAGCGTTCAGCGCTGGCATAGCCGCTTGGCAAAAAAAAAAAAAAAAAA